TTCCTGGAGAACATTTCCCTCTGAGGCACTGACCCCCATTAGAGAGCGGAGTCACAGGTGAGAACTGCAGATCGAAATCCAGAGGATCTCTGCAGATTTTAGCCTTGGTTCCTGCTCTTCCACTCATGTAAGTTCCCAAGCCACCCAAATGAAGTGAGCTGTGCCAGGAAACTTCCAAAGCCTAGGAATTCCTGGGAAAACTCATGCCCAGATTCTTCTCTGCTCCCTCTCACCCGCCTCTCTCCATCTCATGCACTCTCTTGCCCTCCTGAGGATGGGGCTAATGGACTTTGACTGTTAGCACCTGGGATGTTGGGCACCAACCTTGCTGTGGGTCTCTCGAGCTTCCTCTGGCCCCCTTGGTTCCCAAGAATAGTTTTGGAATGGGGCGTGCTGTGCTAATGGGGTTAATGGTAACCTCAGAATCAATTTTCCCTCCCAGAAGAAAATTCTCCGGGCTTAGGCGGCTCAGACTGTAATAGTGAAAATGGCTCTAGATTTGAAAAATTGGCACGTTGTAGTCCAACAAGGCAATTTTTGAATTGTTCCGTGCAGCTGTGTGCCTCTGGATGCTACGCTGCTTGCGTCCTAAAGCTACGGGATAGAGAGCAACTTTCCAGCCAAAAACAGCTCTGATGCAGTTTTTTTCTTTTCTCACCCCAGCCTGAACTCACTGTTTTTGTTCACCTGCCCTCAGTCCTTGGAACTTTGGTGTCTGCCTTAGCGGCTGTCAGGGCTATTGGGTGAGAGAGAGAGACACGGCCTTCTGTAGAACCTCATCCCTCAGGGCAATGGCCTTGGGGAGAGAGTTTCCTGAAGACCAGGGAACTGTGCATAGGCTGTGAGAAGAAGCCTCGACATTCAGAACCACAGCTCCCAAGCAGCCTTTCCTAGACCTTGTCAATGCTGGATCTCTTGGACCCAGAAGAGGAAATGTCTGCTGTATATGATACTTGATCTTGATGTACTGTGTTTCCTGTATTATAGCATGCAAACCATTCTGTCTTGTTTTTATAAACATTAAAATGCAAAGCAAGCCTCCTTAGAATAAAAATATATGATCTATATTTTGAGTAATAGAACAACAGAATGGGAGAACTGCAAGGCAGCTTACCACTTACTTAGTGAATGTCCTCATTGTACAGATGGGGAAATGGAGGTGGCCCAAGGTCACATATTTGGTTGGTGGGGAAGAACTTGCTCTCACTGTTGGACGCTCTAGGCTTTGGATCATGGTCCAAGTGGCCAGGGAAACCTGTTGTTGTTTGATTTCTCTCTTCCTGTGGCCAGAGCTGTTTACTTTCACCTTACTCTCCCTCCCATAAGTTCTCCTAATGGTGGACCTTGTTTGGTGACTCAAGATTAGAACCACATAATGCTTGAAGGGCTTCCCAGGTGGCACTAGTGGTGAAGAACCTGTCTGCCAATGCAGAAGACATATGAGACACGGGTTTCATCCCTGGGTTGGGAAGATCCCCCAGAGGAGGGAATGGCAACCCACTCCAGTAGTCTTGCCTGGAGAATCCCGTGGACAGAGGAGCCTGGTGGGCTATAGTCCATGGGGTCTCAAAGAGTCGGACATGACTGAAGTGACTTAGCATGCTTGCAGGCACGCAGTGGGTTGAAATGAAACTTGGAACAAGTGCTAAACTGGGCCTTGACCTGCTAAGTGGCTCCCGGCTCTGCTCCACCCATACCCACCCACCACCACCCCCAAGCCCATTTCCCCTGTCACCTCTGCATGCCCGTGGATCCTGTCATCCCTGACTCCTCCAGCCCAGGCTCCTTCCTGTGGCTCCTCATGTGATCGTGAGATGACTTGTGCCTGCGTCTCCAGTCTCACGTCTCACAGCCATTGGCCTCCCTCCCTGTACCACCCTGTCTTCACCCCATCTGTTGCAGGAAGGGGGACCCCTTCCAGGGCCTGAGAGTGAGCTCTTGTCTGACATTCGGAAATGAATTTTCCGAGGAGACACACGTGCAGACAAAGTAAGAGGCTCTATTGGGAAGGGGCACCTGGGTGGGGAGCAGCAGGGTAGGGAAACCCAGGAGAACTACTCTGCCATGTGGCGCTTAGTCTCGGGTTTTATGTTGATGGGATTAGTTTCCGGGTTTTCTTTGGCCAATTACTCTGACCCAGGGTCTTTCCCAGTGGTGAACGCATTGCTCAGTCAAGATGGATAAAGCAAGAAGGATTCTGGGAGGTGGTAGGACACGTGGCTTCTCCTTTCGACCTTTCCTTAATTTTTCCAGTTGGTGGTGGCTTATTAGTTCTGTGTTCCTTACTGGCACATCCTGTCATAAAATAACTCAAGCAAACGGTTACTATGGTTGGCTGGCCAGGGTGCGCAATTTCAGCCGGTGTGCTTCCCCTAATACATCCAAGTCAGTTATCCTGTCGTATCTTGCCCTTATTTGCCTTTGCACGTTCAACCCCAACTCAATTATACCCTCCTCCGAGAAGTCTCTGTTTTCTCCAACCTGTTTCTCTCCTTCCCACCTCCCTTCACCTGGCCAGATCCAACTCCTCCTTCCCTCTCAGCCAAGACACCAGATTCTCTTCCCAAGCCTGCGTGGGGAGCTCTCGCTGCGCACCCCGAAGGCATCCTTTACTTCCTCTGTCGCTCTCCACTGTACACCACTAGACACTATATAATTGTCTGAGTCTTTTCAATTTGAATCTTCCATGAGAGTGGAAGCTCCAGAAGGGCAGGGCTGTGTCCTGTTTACTGTCTGTGCTCAGCACCCTAAGACTGTCTGGCTCATGATAAGCCCTCCTTGAGTAGTTGAAGGACGGGTAAAAATGCTGCTACTTCTACAACGAATAACACCCAATGTTTGTTGAGCACTTTTTCCTGTGCCGGAAACTATGCAAAGCGCCTTATGTGCATCGCCTAATTTATATTAGTTCTTGTATGAATTGGTCGAGGCGAGAAACAAGAGATTCTAATCCTGGCTTTGTCTCCAGCTGCCTATGTGATTTTCAACAATCCCCATGGTTTCCTCCTCTTCAGAATGAAGGCGAGAGAAGGGGGCAAGCAGGCTTCATTTCTCAGTTCTTTTTCCTAGGCAAAAAGGGAATCAAGAGTCAGTCTACGCAGGCCTGGGGGAATCAACACTCAGGATTCAGAGAACCGGCAGACACAGAGGGTCAACTTTCTAGTGCGGGAGCAGGAGAGGGATCTGGCCGCGAGGCTGGGAAGGGCAGCGGGTTGCTCTGCCATGCTGTGGTAGAGCTTCCACATAGAGAAGCCCGCTGCTAGCTGAGTCATTAACGCTGGTCTCCTCGCCGTCACCTCGGGCATTGTCTGATTTAAGTGTAATAGCTTGTTTGGTGGATTTCGCCTTCTATAGAAATCCCCCCAAGAGTGAAGTGCGCATTCAGCCGGGAGAGCACAGGCCTTTGTGCGCTGATGGCCCGGCCTCGACTCAATGTGTTTGGAGTTGGTTATCAAAGGGGAGGATAAATTAGAGCACAGGGCTGAGGAGAGAGGAAGAGGGGGCCCTTTCATGAGCAGGGCTGGCACTTAGGCAGCTGACTTGGGGCTGGGCAGCCCCTGAGGCCGGCTCTCTGCCTTTTGGCAGTGGCGGTGCTACAAGCAGGCCTGGTTGTACCCCGGAGGAGCCTAAATTCTGATATCCCACCAAGCCTTGGGCGGTGGGGGTGGGAGCCGGGCAGGAGCCGGGGCTGAGAGTGACGCTGTTAACAGAATAGGCTCCAGCGCTCGGAGGAGGGTTTCTGGGGGGTTGGTGAGCCCCGCACCTTCCCTCCTTGCCCCACTTCCTGCCCCCTGCCCCGCCTCCTCCCTGGATGTACTGGAATCATGTTCTGAGGGCGCTGAAAACCCCAAGGCGCCTCCTAGTCTTGCGGGTGCTGCTTAGGGAATCCAGCACCATCTGCCTCCCTCCGGCCGCAACGCGCGCTTGCTCGCTGGCTGTCAGGGCAGTTTCATGGAGTGCAGTGGCCAGCCAGAGCTATGGAGCTCCCAAAATAGGAGGTCCCGGGCACTCGACCCTCTCTCTGGTCTTGGCTTCTGATGTCCAGATTTGGAGGCCGAGCTGGGCACAGCTGTCAGCTGAGCCACAGGCAGGGATGCCGAAATAGTCAATTACACCGGGGCCCAGTTTTTGCCTGCGAGAATGCTTCCCTCTGTACTCCAGTGGGTCTTCCCCCATCAGTGTCCCTGGGCTCCTCACTGACAGCTTGTGGCCATGTGGGATCTTGATCAACAAGCTCACCGCTCAAGGAACCAGAGCACTTTTGTTCGCCCCTTAGCTCCTAACCCTCAGCGGCATCTTAGGTACACATCATTTTCCAGTTGGGAGGAACCCACGACACAAGGTGTAGACGTATTACGAGAACCTGTTTAGAGTTGCAGATATTTTAAAGAATTGTCTGAAACTGACCCCTCTGGCTTCTCTGGTGGCTCAGCTGGTAAAGAATCTGCCTACAGTATGGGAGACCTGGGTTTCATCCCTGGGTTGGGAAGATTCCCCTGGAGAAGGAAACAGCTACCCACTCCAGTATTCTGGCTTGGAGAATTCCGTGGACCGTATAGTCCATGGGGTCGCAAAAAGTCAGACACAACTGAGTGACTTTCTAGTTTTACCCTAGAAACACACACCTATTCTCATGCATATACAAGTTTAGCTGCCATTTCTGGGGGTTACACCTTCCGAATCAATGTGTACCCTCCACCCTGGCTGCACATTTGAATCCTCTGGGAGCTTTTATAAAATTCTGAGGCCTGGGCCTTACACCCAGACACTCTGATTTACATGGTCCAGGGTGGGATCTGGGCATCTGTTTTTTTCTATAACATGTTAGGAGATTCTTATGCAGTCAGGATTGAGAATCATTGCCCCAGAGCCTCTTAGACTGTCCTCCTCCCTCTGATTAAGAGCCCTAACTGTGGACAGTCAGAGTCTGTACAGAGAGACACGTCGGAAGACACATGCTGGGTCGCTTGTAGGGATGGGTTAGATGCCATGAACGGATTTATTATTTTGCCCACTGCGTTTAAAATCCTTCCTTCTTTCCTCGCCCCTTGAGGGGTGCTTCCTTGGTGTTCATTTAAAATAATTTTAGCACACCACAGTGGGAAGGGAGCCTGGTTGCCTTGATGTGCTTCTGTCATTTCAAGGAGCTCAATAAAAATTTCGTTTCGGTGTTCATTCAAGGCAACTTCCACATAGAGGTCTTATGTTGCAAACCAGAGTTCTCTTTTCATCTGGTCACCCCTGGGGGAAATTGTGTATTTGAAATTCAAACAATATTTGGGCAAAAAGCAGTTCTCATTATATGTGGTGGAGAAGGCCAATGAGAGGAAAGCATGGGGAAATGATTGAGTGACATTTCTATTTGCTGGTTTGACTTTTCCGCCAGGGGCCGCCGTGCTTTGTGCCGCTGGAGAACCTCAGCTTCCTGGGATGGACTGGAAATGCCAGACCCCTGGAAAAAAGAATTTGGAGGAGAAAAAGTATGAGTGGGCTGGAAATGGATTTGAGGAGTCAATGTGACCTCATGCTGATGTCTTGATGAGATAGGGAGAGAATTCTATGTTTTGCACAAATTCTCATTAGAAAGAGATTGTTGAAGAGAGCTCAAAGATCATCTGGATCTATCTCCTTTGGTAGGTGGGTCCCCTTTCTAACATTTAAATTGACCCTGGTCAAGCAGTTAGATGAATTCGTACCTTTATTCATTCATTGATGGAGCACCAGCAATGTTGGGCACTTGGCAAGTAGTGCAGGAGAATGCAGAGACCGATGGGTTATCCTTTCCCTTAGATAACTTACAGTTTCCTGAGGATTTGAACAGCTGAAATGCCAGGGAGACATGATGAAAACTGTGAGGGCGAGAAGCTGGGAGGGTGGGGGTTGATGTTAACCTTGACTGAGGGTCCACTAGGAGCCAGACACTTTCCCCAAATCACCTCCTTTAGCCATTGTAACTCTAGAAAATAAAGTACTCTTATCATCACTCCCATTTTATAGACAAGGAAACTGACACTCGGGTGAATCTGCTTTCTTAAGGTGACAAAACCATTAAGGAGATTTAAGTATTTTAACCTGGAAGGTCCCAGGCCAATCCTCTTAGCACTGTAACAATCTAAGAAGAGTTCAAAAAGGGCAAAGACTGACTTTTGGCTGGGCTGGAGGATGAGAAGGGAGGGATTTGGGCAAGCAGAAACTGAGTGATAGAAGGTACACTGAGAACATGGTTTCTTAGGCTCAACAGTACCTGGGGAAGATGTAGCAGCTTGGGCTGGAATGTGGGGGTTGAGAATGAGAGTAGGAAGGTAGGTTAGGACAGGGTTTTGAAGGCATAGAAGCTAAGGAGATGGATTTGGGGTGGGAGAGAGAGAAAACCCTGAAAGTTTGCTGAGTAAAAAAGGAGTGTAATGTGACCATTGCTACTCTTAGGAGAAAGAGTGGAGATTTTGATTCCTGGCTGTATTGTTGCTTAGCTATGCACCTTTGGGCAGGTTATTTAATCTCTCTGTGTTTCAGTTCCTTCATCTGTAAAAAGAGAATGATAAACAGTACTTACCTCCATGAAGTTGTTGTAATGATCAAATAAATCATGTCTGTGGAGTGCTTAGAATAATGCCTGACACATAGTCAGCTCTTTGTAAATGGTGAACATATAATAACTTTACCCTTTGTGAATTTAATTCTGATAATGGTATAGATAGAAGGGGGTGAAGTGGGAGAGAGATAGAAGTCCCAGAAGTGAGCAAGGGGACTTTGTGACAGTCACTGGTACCCATGGAGTGTAGGGAGACGTGGGGAAGGGGAATCAGTGCTACTCAGCTTCCGATTGGCTGCGGGGGCGCATCAGGAGTCTCTCAGCTGGAACGGCAGTGTCAGTCCTAGACCTCAGGGCACCGGGAGAAGCTACAGGTGAGCAGAGGAAGATGGGAATGTTGATTTAAACCCGTATAAACCTAGAGTGAAAAGCAACCCCAGAGCCAATAGAGGAGCCGGAGTTGGGGGTGGGTAGCCCTGCCCCTGCCTTATTTCACATGGCTGCTCTGCCCCTTTGTCCCCCACCTGGGTCCTAGGAAGCTCTGCCTTCATGCCACCTTTGATTCTGGTGTTCCTGTCTCCTCTGGGCCCTTCCTGAGCCCCTCACATGAACCTCTCCAGCTACTTCTCCAAATGGTCAGGCATGGTGATCCCAAGATCACTTGTTAAGCAGACCATGTTTCCTGCTGTTGCCTTGGGAGACTGAGTCTGAGGGTTGGGTGGGCAGAATGCCCAGACTGTGCAGACCAGGAGGAAGAAGGAAGGATTTGGGGGATGGTGGTAAGTAGCAGCAGAAAATAAGTGTTCAACCCCAGGAGGAGGACACTGATGAGTGACCAGCTCTGGGGGCTTTCAAGGGCTTCCTGCTGCTGCAAGAAGCCCTTGATGGGAACCCAGTGCCCTTCTGAATCCCCCACACCCGACTTGCTGCTTGGAGGGGTGTGGGTACCAGCTCAACCTGGAAAGGATGCTGGAGGAGGCTGGAGGGCCTCTGGTGGGTATGGGGGCTCAGCCTGGACTCCTCACCCCTGAGCCCTCCATCCACCATTCAGTCCCATCCTGCCTGTGGGCACAAGAATTCAGACAAAAGGAGGCTTACAAACGGAAGGGGGGAGTCTTATAACAAAATTACCAGCCTGCTGTCAGCCAGGCGCTCCGCCTCGCAGAACAGACTCCAGACAGGCTGCAGCGTATCAGGCCCGGGCCTGCCTGGCCTAGCAGGGGGTCCTATGGGCAGACAGAGTCAATTACCCAGAAAGGTTCCACTTAACTTCCCCTGCTGTTTGCATGCCCTGCCCCGGCCTCTGTGGCCTCACTGGCCTCGGCCAAAGCCCCATCAGCCTGTGCTGGAGCCGGCCACCCCCCAGTTCTGTCCTTGGACGTGTTGGGGGGGCCACCCATCCAGGAGCCCGGGCTCCTGCCCTCTTTGGCCCTAGGGCTGCCTGCTCTGGCCCTGGGCCAGTGGATTTCCTTTCGTCCCTCTGCAGACACTGCAGGAGCCTCAGGTGGGAGGGACATCGAGGAGCTGCCCCCTCTCCCGCCCCTCTGCTGAGGCTCAGCAGCCCACCTGTCCGCCCCCTCAGTCACCTGTCCAAGTTCAGTGGGTGGTGACCATCTGCCTTCTGGAGGTGGACTGACATGGGTTTGAGGCTGGGATCAGCACCCTCTGCTGTGGGACCTGGCACGTTGATTTAACTTCTTTAAACTACAGTTCCACCATCTGTGAAATGAAAATAATAATAATAATCTATATCTCGTAAGATTACTGTGAGGATCAAAGAAGAGAGTGGGTATCAAATGCCTGAAATGCCTGCCCAGGATAAATGCTCACTGATTTTCTTTCCTTCCCCGCCCCACCCCCCACCTCTTCATCCTCCTCTCCCTTTTCCCTTCCTCCTCCTCTCTCTCTTCTTCCTACTTTTCACTGAAGAGTCTCACTTAACAGGAAGTTTGTTATTTTGGTTCCTCCTTTCTGCTACAGAATCCTGAACTGGGAGAAAAATCCAGCTTTTAGTCCAGGCTTATGTATCAATTTTCGTCATACAGAATCAAGTCTATAACACCAAAATATATCATGAAATTAGAGTATGTTTTTTTTTCCCCAACGCCATTTAACCAAGGTCAAGGACTTTGGGTTAAATCCTAACCATCCCTGGCTTCTGCCCGAAGTTTTAGATTTCACAGACATTTCCTCTCTGTGCAACCCCTCAACCAACCCAATCATCTTCCACATGTTTACCATTAGTTAGAAATGCCCACACAATGCAGTTTAGAGTGCCTGCAGGTATGGGATTTCAGCTTCCGACATGTGCCCAATGGATGGAAGGCAGAACACTGTCATTTGGTCATTAAGTCATTCAACAAATATTCCCAGACAGCCTACTGTGTGCCCGGGGACCAAGGGCAAAGAGACAAGGAAAAAGCAAACAGACATTCCAGCCCTTTAACCAGTGAGCAGAGGCTGGGGAGGGGGATGAGAAACAGGTAATTACAATCAGATGTACTGGATGCCGAGACAGGAGTAGGGCAACGTGACGGAAGATGGGTTGGAGGGGTTTCTGGGAGGAAACGGGAGCTACTTTCTGCAGCACAGCTAGGACTGATATGGAAATGTGGACACCTATACTGGTCCCTCCAGCTCTCAGGAGGAGAGTGGTGTTTCAGGATGCAAGCGACCACTTCTTGTGGGCTCCTCTCCAGCTGCCAGCCCTCTTTCTCGAGTTGGACTCTTGTGTTTCAATCCGCTCACAAGGTCCTCTGTCTTGAGGGGCCACAGCTGGAACTTCTGAGGTCTGGGGCAGCGCCCCCCCATCCATCCCCTCTGCCACACAGGTGGGTGGGTGAGGTGGGCCTGACGGATTCTGTGAGCAGTGACTGCACCCTGGCACTGCCATAATTGTGCTAGACAGGACTGTTTAAATACCACCAGACAGAATATTACTCAAATTAAAAATGAGGCCTTAAATGTCATTATTTGTGTCATTATTAATAGCCCCTAATTGTGTTCTCTAATCATCATGAAATTATGTTAGTATTAATATTCACGTCAAAGCTGCCTAGGGAACTCGGAAGATTTAAAAAAAAATTATACCATATGTCAGTTCCCATGAATGTGAAGCAGAGGCTGGTTTTAGTGCTTTAGTTCCAACTGGAGTGGAGATAGTGGTCAGGGGACAGGGGTATCCCTTGACTGTAAGGGCCTCCTTAATTTCCACCCCCTGAGTCACTGACTGCTGGACTCCTCCGCCTGGCAAGACCCTTAGAGGCATGAGTAGGACCTGTCTTCATGGAATACTCTGCGGGTCTCCTGCCAGCTGCCCTTGCTGGTGAGGGGATTGGAGTCTGTTCAGACTGGAAAGTGTTCGGTGCTCTGGAAAGTGTTTGACACCTCTGGTCTCCTGCAGCCTCGAGACCCGCCTGTGTCTAGACACCATAATAAGAAACACGTGGCGGGCCTGCCTGTCCTCACTCTCCATCTACTTGGAGACGCCACCTCCGTGCATTTGGGATTCCGCCCAAACTGCCCTTCCTGGCTCAGGGAAGTGATGCCAAATAAAACCCCCAAAACCCAAAGTTGGAGTCTCCCAGGGAAATGTGTTGTATAACGTAAGACACAAAGAACTTTTGGAAAATATACTTAGAGATTCAGAATTTAAAAGTACCTTCAGGGTGTCCATACAATCTGGAAACAGGTGAATCTAGGTCTTCAGGAATATCTTTGTCTTGGAAAGAAGCTATGTTTCTACAGTTTTTGGACTGCCCTGGATTTTACCTCGTGGTGGTGGCGCCAGTGGTAAGGAACCCGCCAGCCAATGCAGGAGACGTAAGAGATGCAGGTTTGATCCCTGGGTCAGGAAGATCCCTGGAGGATGGCAACCTCCACTCCAGGATTCTTGCCTGGGGAATCCCACGGACATAGGAGCCTGACGGGCAAAGACAATAGGGTCACACAGAGTTGGACATGACTGAAGTGACTGAGCACACACACACGCAGCCTTGCTGGGGCTTCTTTGGGGGGATGCCCTGACCCCCCAGGATGAGGATGGGTTCCCTCTGCATGTTCCCTTTTCTTATCAGAGGCATCGGGAATGAGAGCCTCTGTGGCTGATGAGCTGAGCGTGCTGCTCACGTCACCTGGGACTTGATTCTGCCTCCCCCTCAGACTGACATCAGCTGTAAGAGGTGGGGTGGTTGACAAGGCGGGCGCTATTGCCAATTAAGAGATTCCCTCCCTGTGGGGATGTGTGGGGCGAGTGCCCTGGGACCCCCAGAGGCATCAGCCTCCTGCTGACATCACTCACCGACTCCTCTCATCGTTTCTACAACATTCCTTTAGGCTGCCTGCTCACGGCCTCAGTCATCCGCTAATGGAGTCCACGTGACCGCGATGTGTCAGACAAATCTGGGGCAGCCGCCTCACTCTCTTCCTGGAGCCCTTCGAATTCTCTGGAACCGAGAATATTCAAATGCCTTTCTTGGTGAAACAGCAGGCTTCCAACCGTACCATCCCCCCCCCACCTCCAAATATTATGACTTGAGTTAAATATAACCCAGAGCATGAAAATAACGGCACAACACGGGGATGGGAGAAGCTGTGGAGTGAGCATCTCAGTCACACTCTCTGTCACTCTGGGGGTGGCGGGGCATCTGCAGACCCCACGGCCACTCAGGCTGAAAGCCCACAGAGCCACGCAGGGGTCTGGTCCCTCTTGGGCCGGTAAGTAGCTATGTTGGCCTGGGTGGGCCTTCACGCTGCTGGTTTCTGCACACATTCTCCTTTTCCTAATCAGATGTGGTGTGACTTCAAGGGTTGGGGAGGATCTCTCTTAACTGATGTGTGGAAAGGGAGACTCGCCTGCTTTTTCAGACGTGAAGGGAGGATCAAGGTGGGAGGGGGACCCTCAGGCAGCGGCAGTTGTGGTTGGCATGCTGATGTGGATATCCAAGGGGACACACACGCACCCCTAGTCACGGTGCGTGCATGCTCCGTCGTGTCCAACTTTGAGACCCCATGGATTGCACCCCTCTGGGCTCCTCCGTGCATGGGATTTTCTAGGCAGGAATACTGGAGTGGGGTGCCGTTTCCTTCTCCAGGGAATCTTCCCAGCCCAGGGATCAAACCTGTGTCTCCTGCATTGCAGGTGGATCCTTTATCACTCAGCCACCTGGGAAGTGACTGGACCACCTTTTACAATAATCGAGAAGGAGAAGCTTGATCTGCGGAGGGGAAGGGAGGGTTAGATGCACATTTGGGCCCATGAACCAGGTTCTCCAGACTCCCTCATAACCTCATGCATGAGTGTATGGTGAAAATTCAGTGGGTAGTAGATAAGCCAAATGGCTTCTGAAATTCAGACTCTCTGAATTCCAAACCCAATGATTACCATAGTGGTTGGGCTAGGGCTGGATTCAAACCAGTGAACCTAGAGCAGAATAGTTGAATAGGCCTTCTCTCAGAGCCCTTCTGCCGCCGAGTTACCCAGCAACCACCACGTGGCTGCCCCTCTCTTGTCTGCTTTGGGCCAAACATCAAATAGCTCAGGTCAGACCAAAAAAGCAGATACATGGGCATCTTTGAATTACAAATGCTTTATGCAGGTAGGAGAACTTATAGTGTTTGTGACATGCTTCTGCTTAAACTGCCTTTGGGATTTGCTAATTTGGGGAGGGTCTGGGAGAATGAGGAGGAGGAAGAGGTGGCGTTCTTTGATTCCCATAAGGTAAGTAGGACAGCTGTAATTACCCCCCACTTTACAGATGAGAAAATTGAGCCTCAGGGCGGGTATTGGCCAAAAGCTACACGGCTTACAAGTGATGGTGGAGTTGACTCCAAGTCTTCTGGTTGTCAGGGCTACAAAAGAATAGGCCCCTCCCCTCAAATACACGACTCTCTGCACCCCCCCTCTCAGGCAGCTTAGAAATTGTGAGAAAAATCAAAGGACTAGCTAGACCATGAATTCTATAAAGACAGCAGCAACAATATTATTAAGTTCTCTGCCCTTCCCCAAATCTTTTCTTTTTTTCAGCCGTTATCTCATGTGTGTGAGATGGGGTGGTCCAGAGAGGTGCGTGGGAAGGTGTGAAAGGAAGGTGGTGAGAAAGATTTTACCCTCAGAGTCTTTGCTTCTTCTCTGTGGTCCTTCCTCCAAGATGAGTCAGCAGAAAGAGCCCCCAGTCCTCCCGGATCTGAAACCGAAACCACAGAATGCCTCCCCCTCCTCATTCTCCCAGACCCTCCTCAAATTAGCAAATCCCAAGATGCCTTTTTTGAGAGCTTGAGGAAGGGGGTTCCAGCTTCACTTGGTGCTTCATGTGAGGGTCTTAGGAAGATATAAGAGCCATACTGACACCTACTCTGGACTCCCACCCCAGCTGCCTACCTGAGTCTGCTTGAAGAAAAGAGGCATAAAGCCTTGTTGGCGGGACTCTCGATTCTGCACCCTCTTCCGTCTTGAGAGCCACTGTCCAGCTTTCCACTTCTGTGCCCCCTGATCCTTCCTCCACCCCCACCTTCCGCTCTACAAAGCCCCTGCTAGAAGTTGACAAAGCTGACTGGCTGCTTAATGTGCTACAGGTGTTGTTGCTAGGCAACCACCCCACTCTGCGGCTCAGGCTCTGTCAGCCCAGCTCAAACCCCCGGTAGTGCTTAACCCTATAGCTGCTTGCCACAAACGCTAATTACCCAGGCCCACCGAACAGCACATTTATACCCCGTGATCAAGGAGTGGAAGGACTGATTCTCAGCACCTTCAGGCCTTCAACCAACACGGCTCACCAGGTCAGGCTGCTCCAAACATGATGTGGAGGTCTTTTGTCTGTAAGCATCCATTCCTCCTCTCTGGTCACATGCAGTGGATGCTGAATGTAGTATTGGCCATCTCCCTTCATTGGATGGGCTTCTCCCAAAGTCAGCCAAACACCTTGACTGCTCTCGGTCTCCAGGAAAGAGGTGGCAGACTTGTTTCTGCACTTTAAGCTATGTTCAGGTTGACATTTTTGACCCCGAACCTCACAGTGATGAATGATATTCATTCTTTGATGTCTGTACCCAGTTGAACTGGGGGTGATGAAAAGTTTTGGACAATTCTTCCAACTCTTGGGTGTTGCATTCCTGTTCTTGGCCTTTGCCTTCCCAAATGGACGGACTCATAGTCCTTTAGGTTGATCAGGAGTTACAGGAAGCTTTAAACATGCGTAGATGCATACGTATATTAGCGCATTAACTATACTCCAGAATTGATCTGTTCCTGAGTTGGCCTTCCCCATTCCCACGTGATCATACTGCTTGACTCAAGCCAGGTCCTCAACAACTATCGGAGAACGTATGAACACACCATGTTTCTACGTCTCTTTTCTAAACCACAGGATGGGGTTGACAGTGATGGAGAGACCACTAAGTACCAAAGCAAATTCTCCCTTCCTTTTTAGGAAATTCTAACAAATTTCTAGCAAATTCTCCCTCCCTCCCTTTTTTTCTCATGAGACTAAACTCGGCCTATGAGCCAGATTATAGGAGATTTCCATATGGGGTTGAATCGCCTTTCTGCTGGTGAGGTGCCTGATTGTGAGGGGCAGGTCTAGGCTTGCTGGGTGATGACAGTGGAGATTCTCACCCATTCTTGAAAGCCAACTCCTCCCGGGCACCACCCCGCGATGCCAGATCCCTGGAAGGAGTTTCTAGGGGTTACTTCTGCTTTCTGTTCTAGGTGGGAAAAGCCCTTAACCCTTCCGCTCCTGGCAGTTATGTACTTATTCACAGGTGTAGGAGCTGAGAGACCTTACTGCCATTGATCATTTACATTCATTGTGTATTTCGAAGCAAGTATTTCAGACCCAGGGCTCCACTGCAGATTGAGTATACTGCTCCCTGAGGATGGGATGCGTCAGGTGCTGGGCCAGTGCTTCTGTGCACATTCTCATCTAACCTTCATCATAGCTTCAGCATATGGACAGAACTATTTCTATCCTATGTGCGAAAAGCTGAGGTTCAGAGAGGTGGAATAACTTTCTCAAGTTTGCACAATTAGTAAGTGGTCCAGCTGGCATTCTAAGCTATGCTGTATCCTGGGAGATTTGAGAACCATGGCTCCGAGAGGTTCGATGACTCGCCTGAGATCCCACTGCCAGTTGTGGGGTTGGAATTCTCATTGAGCTTTCTCTTAAGTCCTTTTCATGTTTGGTCCTCTACATCACACTGTTTTTTAAGAGTCATCCCTTCAGTTTCTGTGTTGATGGTGCCTCCACAATGGTGAGAAATCTGTGTCCAGCATGGAGAAGAAGTGGGTTCTAGGGAACAGAAAAGATAGCATCCTGAACAGGCAGTATTTTGAAATGAGAGTCCCCATGTCTATTTTTTGTTCCTTTGAAAGGACAACATTGGAGAGAGAGAGAGTGAGAGAAGGAGGAGGAGGATGGAGGAAAGGAGGAAGAGAGAGAGAGGAAGATAGAAAGACACACAGAGACAGAGACAGAGAGAGGGAGATGGATAAAGAGAGAGAGAGACAGACACAAAGACAAAGAGAAAGGTGTGTACGCACAGACACATACACACACTCATAGCCATCTTGTTCCTTCAGCCCCATGGCCCTCAGCTTCCCCCCCTCATCCCGAGACAGTGATGGCTTGGCTTCAGGTTAAGCCACTTGTTGCCAGCTGGTGGCATTAAGAGTTGGGAGTGCTAGTCTGGTCACAGGTGACAGGATTTGGAACATCACTGTGGCCCTGGCTCCTTCCCAGTAGACCCAGTGGGTCATGGAAATGGGATTCCCCAGTTGGAGAATTCAATGGGGGTGAAAAGAGATGGCAGATGGTGGGTCCTAGTGGGGAGGGGAGGGGTGAAGGGCTCGCCCCATGAGTTTAACACTTTCATGCAAGTGGTTTCTCCATAAAGTATTAATAATGTTCCTATAATTGATACTTCAGGGCAATAACCTCTGACAAAATGGCCTTGATTAGCAGATAATTGAGTGTGTTGGATTGTGTCCTGAGAGAACTGAACGCCAGGCAAGGCCCATTAGCCCATCATAATGACCCCTTTTGTCAGGTATTAGTATCATTAAGAGCCTGCTCTCTGAAATCAGTCCCTTTATTTAACTCTTTTCCCTAATTATATGGATCATTTTACAAATCAAAGCAAATGTTTGCATACAGCCCCATCACGCAGTGGAGTGAGGAGCTCTAGGAGCAGGCTGGAGAGTTCTGAGTGGAGAGTCCTTGGTAAGGAAGGCACTTGTGGTCTCTGAGAGATGGGTCCCTTGGAAAGTGCCGGGTGAGAATGTGGTGCGCCCAGGTACCTGCCAGGGGGAGCATCTTGATGCCTCATCGTGAGAGCCCGCAGGCCACACACAGGTCACCACTTGTGCCCCTGAATCCATCTCGGCGAAACATCTGGCCTCCTGGTCTCAGAGTAGTTGGATCGGTGACACGGAGGATGCCAGCATGGAGCAGGTCAGCACCTGAGCCCCGCCGCAGAGCCCCAGAAGACACAGAACGCCTGAGCTCATCATCTGGGTTTTGCCCAGAGCCGACTCACATTTCTGTCAGGACGCAGGGGCCTCGGGGAGTGGCTGCCGAGGCTAAGTAGGGCCCAGATCCCCCAGATCTGGGAAAAGGTAACCACCGTGGCCGCACATCCATACTTAGGGCTGGCGGCTAGGTAAGCAGCCAGGGCTGCTGGGACTCCAGGGGACTTGGAGCCTGATCAGCCCCCAGGCCACACACACAGAAGTTGACACAACAGGAAGCTCAAGGGACAGAAGGCTGCTTCTGTCCTGTTCTCCCAAGCACCTTCTCACTCATTAAAAAGTAGACGCAGTTTCCCATTTCTTGGAATCCACTCGCTGCCTGACACCTTTTCCACTCTCCCAGCTCTGTACAAAACCTTTTATTCCAGGGCAGGTTCAGTGTGGGTGAATCAGAAGGAGGCCTCAGTCTCTTAAATGAATTGCTTAGAGATGAGGGACTGATAGCTTGTTGGCAGCTACGAAGGGTATATTTTTATAGATACCAAAGATGAAGCTGAAAGGATATCATCTATTACAAGAAAGGCCCAGAGGTTGCTGAGCTGGGGATAATTTATTTATTTGGCAAAGTGATGGGTGAATTTCCCAAGAAGAGTTAGGACCTGCGCTGGGTCCTGGGGTGGAGTGGCTGGACCGTACCTCCTGTTCCTGCCCCGTTTCTGCAAAGGGAATGAGGCCTTTTGACTCTGCTTTCCCTTGTTTGAATCACAGAGGAGTTGTGCTCCCGTGATTTGCGCTGGGCCTGGTGAATTTCCCAGCATTGGCCTTGGGTGGAGAGCTGCCAGCCGTGCAGAGAAACTGCCAGGGTTTCTGCCGAGGAAGCAGAATTTTGGTGGTAGAGTGTGACATTCTCTTCTCAAAAATAATACCTTTCATTTAAGGTAGGAGAGGAGGTTTGACATCCCGTGAAAATATGATTTTCAGCCCTGTTCTGCTCGGGGCAGACTTTTTCTGCAGGGCGTAGTTGCTGAAGCAGGCAAGCCCCAAAGCTGCAGGTAGGAGCGATGGTCAGGGATGCTGTGCCCCGGAGGGTTCCTCTCAGAGTGGGGCCAGACGGGCCGGAACCCTCCTTTCTGGCTGCAGTTCCCTCGGGGGTCCAGTTCTGTTCACATGCCAAGGAGTGCTGCTCCCAGGGAATGAAGTGTGCCCCTCACCTACTGGAATATGAGTAGAGTAATATTATGTATGTTTAGGGGTTTCCCAAGTGGCCCTAGTGGTAGAGAACCCGCCTACCAATTCAGGAGACGAAGGAATATGGGTTCCAACCTTGGGTCAGGAAGATCCCCTGGAGGAGGGCATGGCAACCCACTCCAGTATTCTTGCCTGGAAAATCCCATGACAGAGGAGCCTGGTGGGCTATAGTCCATGGGGTCACAAAGAGTTGGACATGACTGAAGAGACCTAACACACACACACGTATGTTTAGACACGTAAATTAGCAAGCATTTTATGTTATGGCAGTTTCTAATCAGTAACCTAGAATTTTGTTTGTTCAGTCAATAGACATCCCTTTTTAATATTTGTATGTGTTTATCTATTATTTGGCCATGCTGGGTCTTGGTTGCAGCATGTGGGATCTTAGACCTTTGTTGTGGCATGAGGGATCTTTAGTTGGAGCATGTGGGACATTTTTAGCTGTGGCATGTGGATTCTAGTTCCCTGACCAGAGATCGAACCTGGAACCCCTGCATGGGGAGCACAGAGTCTTAGCCACTGGACCACCAGTATTGCCGAGGGCCTGAAGTGGGCACCGCCTATATGCTGATGAATGGGGCCTGGAATCTACTTTCAAGTAGCTCAGCCTCCTGCACTCGTGGTGGTGGTGGAGTGGGGTGTACACAGACACTAAATCAATCTAGTATACTGATGCTGTAATAGACACGTGGGCTGGGTGTTGCAGGAATACACAGGGGAAATAACTAACTACCTCTGGCTGGGAGAGACAGAGAAGGCTTTCCTGAAGATGTAATACTTAAGCTGAGATTTGAGAGTTTGTTAGATAAAGGAATGAAATAAAGTGC